CAACTCTGAAATAACCCCCCGTTCTCCCCTCCCTCCTCCTCTGTGGCACTGGCACAAACACCAACTGTGGCTAAAAGTGACTGAATTTACCTTTAAAGCCACTTTTAAATCTCAGTTTAAAGGTGATGACCAGTGCTTCATAAGAACAAGTACCGTCGGACTGTACAGAGACGTGGTGCCTCTCAAAAAGCATATTAATTAAAATTAATAATTTAAATAATTGATTAAATGAGAACTTCTGCGCTAAGTATATCTTTATAGTATTTTGAATATCATATATATTAATATCATATTTGATAAATACTTCTAATACATTTTAAATAACTTCTCCCCCTTTTTCATGCTTGTAAAATGTGAGGACTTTGCTCTTCACCATTACTGTAAACTGACAATAATCATTTTGTTTTGTTACCTTGGGCTCCTAAATATTGTTACAAAGTTGTACATGTAATATTAAAAACTAGAAAAGAATTTACAAAATGCCCAATAAGCCTAACTTACATCTAAAAATTGTCCTCTTGACTATGAGGGACATTTACTAAGAGTAAATGAATAGTAAATGAAACATGTTTATTCTTATGATATCAATGTTTTACATGTAAACAGTGTTATGTTTACAGCAACTACAGTTAGCTTCTGGGAATATTCCTTCTGTTAAAGTGTTTCATGCAGCGACAATGATGAAGCTGTCCATGTACAGTGACCTCACAGAGGTTAGCTTTGTGGCCTTGTATGTTATCCTGGTGCTGTCATTTTCACAAACTGCATTTTATATTAAAATCCGAGCTTAATTCTGTTCCTCATTTCTTTATTTTATCTTAATATACTTCTCATTTTATGTTATGTATCATATTAAAATATATCTGTAACTGCTGTGTGAAAGGAACCTACTTTCACTGTACAGTACAAACCCACTGTGTTTATTTACACGTGCATATGACAATAAAATAGCTTGTACTTGTACTTAATTAGCCCAAAGCTGTCAAAAGATTTCTAACACCAGAAAAGCATTTCACAGTACTTACTTACAAAACAACAGATGCAGGGAAACTCTGAGGAAACATCCTCATTACTGCATCTTCAAGTAGTTAAACGCAGATGCAAACAGATGATAACTAAAGTCATGCTACTTGAAATAAAGACATTTATAGACACTAAAACAAGTGCTAAAGTTTAGCTTTTCAGAGCACGGGTGCTTTGGCACCTTTAACTCTTTCACAGTAAGTCACCTCACATTTTTTGGCTTCAATAAGTGATCTGTAAATCACAAGCTGGTGGCTTGATATGTTAGGTATGATGACTGTTTCCAGTAGCAGTAAGTTGCAAAGGAGACAAAACAAGATTAATAAGTATGACTGTCTTTTGATATGGAAAGGGGTTTTTTCCCCCTAATTGAAAAATGTGTAAATGCATAGGAGAATAAGGGATGGCTGAAATATTTCCCCTGATTATATGTGCTAAATGTTTAATCTGTTATCCTTTATGTGAAAATGAACTGAACAAATGCCAAAGCTTTCATAAAAGCTATTGTGACAGCTTGTGAAATTCAGGCTCTGTAACAGGCTGAAGCCAGGAGAGTTCAACTTTTAATTTGAATAATATTAAATCCTGTCATCTCAACTGGGTCCCTTAGCAGCATTATGTGACAGAAGTACAAAGGAAACGGGGCCGTATTATGCAACTATTACAATTCAGCTGTGGTAACCTTCAATCTTTAAAAAGACACTGTGTGAATATACCGAGAGAAGCCAATTGATCGATAATTTTTCTGCTAGCGCTTTGATGTGAGCTGGGTAAAACTCCTTCCACTTTTTTCTCCTTGCAGGGGGCATCTTTGAGACTCTTGAAAATGAGCCCATTAGTGTTGAAGAACTGGCCTTTAAATTTGCCGTAACTAACATAAACAGGAACCGGACCTTAATGCCAAACACCACGCTGACCTATGACATCCAGAGAATAAACTTATTCGACAGTTTTGAGGCTTCAAGAAGAGGTAAAGATCTTGTCATTTAATTTTGAAACCCCACTTGAGAATCAGTAAGAGATTTTT